AAATCAAACAACCTATCTTCCATTTTTTAAAAACTGGATACCATGTTGCAATAAAAGAGTACACCAAAGCTTATGATTATATAAAAAGCAAAACGAAATGTTTGAGTTATAAAAATAAAATTTGAAGTTAATCTGACTGAAATAGGCTACTACTTATGGGTAAGAAAAAAAATAAATGAATTTATTATTATTTTTATAAATCTGCAATAAAAAAAAAACAGTGTCTTTTTTCAGTTTGAAAGTACAAAATACGGATTTGAGTTTTTTTCAGTTTGAAAGTACAAAATTGGTTTTAAAAAAGTTTATTACCCCCGTCCTTAAACCTGCTAAGCGTAAATATTTTTCGGCATTATTATTTTTTTTTAAATAACCAAAGTTTTCTCGTCTGACTTCCCAAAGTTCATGGAAAAAAAAGTCAGACAAAATATCATCTAATTTATTGTGAATTGCAATAGTCTGAAAGAATTTGGCAATCATGAAATATTTTTAATAGTTGCGACCACTGATTTTTACATTTTATTTGTATCTTACTTAACTATACTAAAATAACTAAATTCTATCATAAAAACACTCGTAACTAGAGGTGCGCAGATATATAACATGTCGCGAAAAAAACGTGTTTTTTGAGACATATTTTTGAAAAACATGCCGTCGACCGAAATAAAACGTTTTAATCGATAACAGCTTTTTGTCAATATGGAATGTTGCTATGTTTCTTTTTAAGAGTTTTTCGATTTTATTTTGTTTTGTGGACTCTTAGTTCTTTATAATCAATTGTGTTTCATATATAACTGAAAACAAAATAATGTTCATTTTCCACAATAAAGATGCCTCGTAAAGCAGACTAAGTCAAGAAGCTTTTTCTAAAAACCTTAGATGAAACAACCAACTCATACAGGTGCAAATACTATGAAAAATGTTATTCAAAGAATACACATAATTTGCATGTTCATGTTCATAAGTGCAGCAAAATACGAGAAAAGTTGAGAAATGCTGTTGTGAAAGAAAAAAATAGTAGGAAACAAAATACAAATAAAAGCTGATAAATCTACAGTTAAGTGGTCTAAAATAATTCTATTTTTTCGCTTTTTGCGCTCTCGTCAGTGGAGGCTTTTTAAACATTAGTAATATTAATTGGTATAATAAAAGAAAATAGATTGCTGCCCTATCAGTAGATGTAACAGCACTTCCATGTAGCAGCAGGCTATAAGACAGTCGATGGGGTAACACTACCTTGTAGCAGCATGCTATAAGAAAGTCGATATATGCTCCAGGCTTGTTGGACCGAGCCGGAGCCAAGGAGCCAAAGCTCCACCAAAAGGTTAAAAGGTAGGTTTACAGTTATAAACTAAGGCACTGCTGCATATATGACTTGTTATTGCACTTGGCCTAAGAGTTGCTAATTCAATAATTGAAATCCAAAAAAAACGTATTTTTTGAAAGCAATGAAACGTTAAAATAAAAAACATGTTTTTTGCCCACCATTGCTCGTAATTCTCTAGCGCTCTACTAACATTTTCTTTGACTAAAAAGGGTCTGTTTAAAAAATATGAAAACTAATTTATAGCACATATAATTTAAATTAAAAAAAATAAAAACAAACAAAATATTTCAAAATTTTAAAATATATATTTACCAATATTTATTTTATGAATTAATTGAATAGTTAACAACATTTAAAGTTTTATGGTTGTAAACTCCCGCTAATAAAAAAAATTAAGAAAAACTTGTTTTTAAAGAATGTTTTAGTAAAAAAGTTTTTAATATTTTTTATATATCTATTGTATTTTTTCTCAATGTATGTTTATTCAGGCCCATACCGTAGTGGGGTCGTTGGGTGCGATCGACCCCCCTTTTTATCCAAAGTGTCTTTTTTAATTTGACGCCAAAACTTTTTTTCTTGACTCTTTTTGATGTCAAAATATTTAATCAAAATTTAATGATAATCATCTGATTTTTATGAATCATTCTCAAAAAACAACTTTTACTTTATTGTTTCACAAATGTAAGGCGTCATTACAAGTCATTGCATTGTGAAATCATTTGTAAACGAAAATAAAAAATAGTCTTTCCAGAGTTTATACTGGAATTACAATTCTCTACTAATAGTAATTCTTTTATTTACTAATAGTACCTCTATCCTAATAGTAATTCTTTTATTTACTAATAGTAACACTTTTAAAAGCAAACGAGTTAACATGCCTAACCAAATTAGGAAACAAGCAGCTGATAGAAAAGAACTTCCAAATGCTGGAAAGAAATGCAAATCGTTAGCTGGATATTTTAAGTAAAAAAGTTATTTTGATCTTTTTATAATATTTACTTTGATATTAACTAGATATAGATATCAACTAGATATAGATATTATCTATACGTTAAATTTTTTTATGATAGTACTTTTGTTATTATTTGTTTCTTATTATAATGTTTATGCAAGTTTTTTAAATTTTGGTATAAATTAAAATCTGAAAGTTTATTATTAATTACTTACGTTTTAAGTGTTTTTTATTATCGACAGTTCTCAAAATGTAGCCGATAAAACATTAACCGAAGTAGAAAAAAAAGAGGAAGTCATTAAAAATGATATTAATGTTAACAAAAGCGTGTCATGCGAAGTAGACCAAAAAATTCAAAAGAATGTGATTTTAAAGAAGAAAAAAAACAATTTGATATTGACGAACTCTTGCGCAAAAATCAAGAATTATCACTACATGAAGTATACAAAATGTTTACGAATAACTTAAAACAGAAGATACATTTTCAATTTCCCAAAACATTAAAACATGGTTGCAAACGTGCTTGTAAAGAATAATATTTACAAAATGGATTTGTCTACAGCAAAGTTAAGACGCAGTCTACTGTATATAATGCACTTTATTTCTAAAGCAGGATAAAAAAATATTATAGGGAGCTTTTGTTAACCGTGGATATAAGGAATGGCACAATGTTTTAGAGAAACAAAAACTACATATAGGCAATATATATTATAAAGAAGCTATCGAACAAGCTAATGGCATTTGTTGTCGTTTTGAAGATCCAAGATCCATTGCATTACAAAGAGATAGCACTTTAAAAAACCGTCAACAAATGTACCCGTACATTGTTGAAACATTAGGTCGAATAGTGCATTAGGTAAAATAGTGCATTTGAAAAGTGTATGGAAAACTCAGACCAAAAAGGTAATCCTGAAAACTTTCTTGCAATTGTACAAGAAATAGCTCGCCATAACGCTGAACTTAATGCACATATACAAACACCATTACGCAAATATGTCAACTACCTTGGCCCTAAGAGTCAAAATGAATTAACTGATATAATTGGAAAGAATTGCATATAAGAGCGGCTAATTAATGAAATCAAAGCTGCAAATTACCATTCAATTTCAGCAGACGAGGTAACAACAGTAAACCAACAAATTCTATCAGTATGTATAATGAAGAAAAAGAAATTAGAGAAGGATTTTTTGACTTTTCGAATCTTGACAAGATAACAGGCAAATATATTGGGGAAAGCTTGATGAAATTTTATAGCGAAAATGGAATTGATCTTAGTTCTTGTAGAAGCCAGTGTTACGATGGCGCACCAAACATGTAATGTGTAAAAAAAGGTGTTGCCAGCTATATTTTAAAAGGATCACCAAAAGCGATTGTAACACATTGTAGCTCACATAATTTGAATATATCAATTGCTGTAATATCAAAAATACTAATGATTGATAACATTTTGGAGGTATACAGAAATATATCTATTCATTTCAATACCTCTCCGAAAAGAGAGCGCTGCTAAAGAGATCCGTTGTAAATCAACTAAAAGAAAAAAAATTTGATAGGGATGTGCAAAAGAAAATGGTCAGAAAGAGATGCCGCATATGAACACTTTTACTTAACTATAACATTTATGGCAGAGGCATTAGAGATTATTTTAGGAATACACTCTAATATAGAATAGTTCAATATAGAGTTTAGTATGGATTGGGACGCACAAAGAAAAAGAGAGGCCAACTAACTCTTTAATGCACTCACTAAATTCGAATTCATAATTGGTATTATAACTTTGTACCGCTTACTTCACCCGTTGTCGTATATAACAGAGAAGTTATAAGGACGCACAACTGATGTTGTGTATGCATACAGTAACATTCAAGAAACAATCGACGATTTGAACCATCTATGGAAAAATGTCGAAAAAGAAACTTACGCAATTTACCCACAAGCTACTCATATGGCAAGTAAATTATTTGTAGAATCAACGATTGCCAGAATCACTATGAGACAGACCTACAGAAATAACGTTCCTGCAGAGAGTTTCCATGAATATTATAAACGGGCCTTGATTTTACCTTTTCTCGACATCATCATTTCAGAAATCGAAATACAATTCCAAAAGACAATTTGCATTGCTGCTAAGGTTTTATGCTTGGTTCCCTTGATAATTTGCAGTAAGGACATAACTGCTTTCCAAGAGTTAGTTGAAATGTATAAAGGTGATCTTCCGAACTCAGAAGCTGTAGATCAAGAACTCATGTTTTGGAAAAGAAAATGGTCTGTTATTAAACCTGAAGATAGGCCTAATACTCTAGCTGAAGCCATTAAAATCTACAATGAAAATCAATATCCTAATCTCTTTGAGCTTCTAAAGATCGGATGTACACTACCCGTAACGTCCGCAGAATGTGAACGCAGCTTTCCAGCAATGCGAAGATTAAGAACATTAATAATATATATATATATATATATATATATATATATATATATATATATATATATATATATATATATATATATATATATATATATATATATATGTATATATATATATGTATATATATATATGTATATATATATATCTATATATATATATATACATATATATATATATATATATATATATATATATATATATATATATATATATATATATATATATATATATATATATATATATATATATATATATGTATATATATATATATATATTGATTGAGCATTTTATTAAAGGTATTTAACTAATTTAAGTTTGTATTTGAATTTTTTTACAATAGTTCGAACATCTTCGAGAGTTTTAGTACTAGGAAATGCAGGATCGTACTCAAATGCTTCTTTATCTTCAACGTTTTCTTCATCTGAATTTAATTCAGCTTTATTTTCACCTTCATCTTTTTTTCACCTTCATTTTTCTTTTTCATCTTCTTCTTCGTTTGTTTCACAATAAGCAGGCTTGGTGTGATGCAAAAACTCTGAGATGTATATGCTAACATGTCACTCTCTGTATCTGATTCTTCTTTGCTTTCGTCTGATAATAAATTCTTATTTGCTCTATTGATATCTGTAATTATCTTTTTACGTTTTAGTACTTGTGTCACACAAAGATGGATTCCATGATCATAGCGAATATATGGCTAAAAATAAATGAGCCTAATTAAATTCACAAAAAATAGTTGTAAAACTTTTCTTGAGCAAATTTAAAAAAAGTTAAATCAGTTTACATAAAAATTGTAAAACTCATCTACTTATTTGAAATAAATTGAAAATTTTCTTTCCCCTTTCCTCAACAGTTTTATTTGCTTGACCAAATTTAAAGATTTTTGCATTTATTTTCTAGAATCGATTAAGCGCTGTTATCCAAAAGCAACAGACAAAGAAACTTGGACATTAACCTGCTTCTTGAAGTATGCGTCTTATCGTTTTAAATGGAGGTAAACGAAAATCTTACAACCACAAAAAAGAAGATGAAGAAGCTAATAAAAGAAGGTGATAAAGATAATCAAGATGATGATGACTGTGAAGTAGATTATGACGTTTGAGTTTAATGAGAGTGAAGGTAGTTGTGAAAATAGAAAATTAAATTACCCCCTTACCCACACTTGTAAAACTTTTTAAAAAATACATTTCAGTAAGTTTTTTAAAGTGTTACTCGAAAACGTTACATCAGTTCAACGTTGTTTTTTTGATGTTGAATCGATGTTGATATTTCAACGCGGGTTTCTTGTTTCCAACTCGACGCTTAAATTAACGTTTGTAAATCAACGTCAGTTTAATGTCAATTTATCGACGTTAAATCATTGCTGATATTTCAACGTCGATTTCTTGTTTCCTATTCAACGCAGGAATCAGCGTTTGTTAATCAACGTCAGTTCAACGTTAATTTATTGACGTTTTCAACGTTGAATCAACGTCAAAATGCTTGCTAGGGTGCATAAATAAAAGGCAATGTTTAATCTACATTTGATTTAAACCCAGTCACGCAAAACGAATGTCAGGTCAAATTCGTTAAATAAGTATAAAATTGTAATCAAAATAAATGAAAATAAACTGGATAAACTATAAAATCCAATACTCTGTAAAGCTTGACTAATACAAAAAAATATATTTCAAAAGAAGTGTATCAAAAATCAGAGAGAAGTTAAGACAACTAAAAAAATCATCAAGCATCTTAGCTCTAATTTGATGTTGAAGTTTAAAAAATTATACTAAAAACGCTAATATCGCAATCTTTTTAAAAATGTCTTTTAATCAGTTTTTACTAAGAAATCAATCGTTTAGAAAAAATTTTTTTTTTAATTATGTAATCCGGTTTTTATTGTCGTCATTGTTGAAATTTATTTAAATTTAGTTAAATATTATGATTATATTTTTTAAAAAAACAGCTTTTTAGATGATTATATTTTTTAAAAAAACAGCTTTTAAAAAACATTTACTTACTTTTAAAATAAAATCAAATATTATGATATTAAGTAATATATTGTCATAAGTTATATATAAATTATATTATTTATTTTATATAAAAAAGATAAAGGATTTGGGATCTTCAAAAACATTTACCAACGCATGTACAAACTCAATTTTTTTTTTTCAAATACAAACATAGTTTAAGTCTGGAACAAGGTCGGCTCAGTCGGCCGATCGTAAAACGAACATGGCCAACCATTGAAATATGAACGGCACCAGCGGCGCAGTGGTGCCAGCCATCAGCCAATGAACCCCATGCATGGACCAAGCATGCTGGGTAACTTGTATTTAGTTTATTCTTGTTCTTATTTAGGTAGTTCCAACCATGATCAATATAAATCTTTAATCTTGGACTTGATTGCCGTACTCACGCTATAACTGCACTTTTTATTACAACCCTAAAGCTGACTTGGATTCTCGTAATTTTCCTAATTTGTAAAGCTCCTTAAGCTGATGTTTTTTCTCTTTTTGCTGATAAATGCGCCTGCATCCAGGTAGTATGAAAAAAAAAATTTTTTTTGTCAGTTTCAAGTCAAGCCTCATTCTATACCTTGATTTTATTGCAATTTGATTGTCTTGTACTGCTACTATATCTAATGTAATTATTATTTTTTTATCTTTTTTGAGAGAACAACTCTCTTGAGAACAAACTTCTATTGTTTTGCAAGTAATTAATGTAAAAAGGTGCTAAGCGCCATTATTCCCAGTTCAAAACTCATATCTTATCTCAAAGGTTAGCTTTAAATACTTAAAATTTTCAACAATATCATTAAGAAGTAAGTCTAACATTCTATCTCTAACTCATGGTATTGATCTTGTTACCTCTCCCAAGGATAAGGCAGAATTATTTGCAAAAAAACTGCTCTTTCAATTCAACTCTTGAATCATATGTCCATACTCTTCCTACTAATCCATTTAAACAGTTATACCATTGTTACACATCCAAATTGCTTCGGCTTATATTGCTAAAGTGATTTTTCAATTAAACCATTCTGTGGCGTACGTTATACAGGCAACATTCCTGTCATAGTCTTATAAATGCGTTCTTCAGAATTCTCTTCAATTCTCTCAAAACTTTTTAATAAGTGCTTGACTAATCTTGCCTGCTAAAAAAAGCGGTCTGTGTTTCCAATTTTTAAAAACTCTGAAAAATATTCTAAACCCCTCCCCCCCCCCCCCCTCAAACTATCATTCAATCAGTCTTCGCTCTATTATTGGCAAGGTTTTTGAGTTTTTGATCAACAAATTTCTAACATTCCGTCTTGAGCCAAATAACTTACTGTCTTACAATTAAAAAGGTTTTTAATCTTTTTGTTCTACGGCTGACTTGCTAACTACTGTGTCTGCAAACATTTGGTCTAAAAAAGACGTTTTAATACGTCTTTTAAACGTATTAGACATTTATACACTTGAAAGACGTCATTTTAAAACCGAATGTTTGCTGGGAATGTACTTGACATATCTAAAGCTTTAGATAAAGTATGGCATGTTGGTTTTCTTCATAAGTTTGATGTTTGACATTCTCTATAAGCTTCATAGTTGATAATATATCCCCAGATATTTTTGATATTATCAAATCAATTCAAACTAACAGCTTTATTAAAGTCATCCTCGAAGGCTAACACTCTTCTTCATTTTCAGTTACTTCTGGGGTACTTCAAGGTTCTATTCTTGGCCCTGTTTTGCTTCTTATCTATTAACAATCTTCCTTACAACCTTACATGTATAGTGAATCTATTTGCTGACGACCCAACTTAACACTTCTATCTTGACAAAAAGTCTTCTCTTTGTGATTTCTAAGAACAGGAAAACGATCTTAAATTTGATATCTCTTTTGTTACAGATTAGGACTTGCAGCAGTCTGTGAGTTTTAACTCCAACAAAATTCGTTTATTTACTGCAAACAACTGTAATGTTGCATCTCTTTTCTAGAAATACTGTCATGGTTGCTGCTTAAAGGAGCTATCATCTCTAGTTCCATCAACCAAAATTCATTCTTGCCTTGAATCACCATTTAGTAAAGTCACATCCTTTAATGTTATCTGTCCCTATATGCTTCTAAAAACATTTATTCGTCTAGTTTTTTTCCCGCACCTCAACCCTTTGTCAACCATTTTTTTTGCTCTATAACTCTATGTTTCTAGTAATTTTTAATCTTTTACTTTAGTTATCTCTTTGTTTTCTAGTAACTCTAAAATTAATAGTGGTTGCTTGTATGCAAGCAACAACTATTAAGTTTAGAGTTACTAGAAAACCAATCTCAACAAGGCTGCATGCAGCCTTGTTGAGAGTGAATTAAAATAAAAAAACAAAAAAATGAAAAAATAGAACGGAAATCAATTAGGTTCGAACGTTTATTTTTGTTACAACCCAGTAAGCACAAAGACGTTTAAAAGACATTTTAAAGATGTCTTTAAGGAGGTCTAAAAGGCGCACTTGTAGACGTCTAGATCATAAGGCTATAAGACGTCTAAATGAAGACGTCTTTATATAAACGCGTTTTAGACGTATGTCAGACGTTTTTTTCAAGATAAATTTAAGTACATGACGTAACATTTTCGCGTAGTATGTGGTTTATATTCATTGTTATTTATAACATCATATATTGTTATAATTTCGTATATACAAAATATACATACGAACCAGCAGTCAGTATAATATTGCTGTAGTCACCACCAACGGTTGATGCATCTAAAATGAAAATAATACATAACAGTAACAAATATATATCAAAACAGTATTTAAAACATTTATAACTTACCTTTAGTATAATTACATTTTATCATAATAACTGCCAGCTAATTTTTGACCGCATACTTGACTTATTATATGGCTTGTGGGTGTATTAAAACTAAAAGTACTGATATTTAACTTATATATTATTCTTGCCATTTTCACTTATTATCATGATCAGTCAACTATCTATTAAAAAAGCAAAATAATTATTAATAAAAAAAAGATATATTATTATTATAGCAATTATTTTAGTGATTCCTGTGACAACAATTTTAGCAATTGTGTAAAAAAGTAATTTAATTTAAAGTAATTTACACTTAAAACTTGAACAAATTATTGAAAATAATAAAAACTATGTTTTTACTTTGAATATACGACATCTACTTAACGCGTAATGACAAAGCCGTCAAAAAGAAGTCATAATGACATATTTATAAACAGGTCTCAGAAAAGACGTCTTTTAGCTTTGATCTAGACGTCTTTTAATGCGTATTTTAGACTATTTATTACGCGTCTTTTAAACGTATTTTTAAACTTTAAAAAGACGCATTTTAAACGTCATGTTAAAATTGCATTTATTAAAGACGTCTAGAAGATGTCTTAAAAAAAGATATCTTCTAGACGTTTTTTTAACGCTTAAATAGACGCCTTTTAAACGTCATTTTAAAAACGCCTTTATAAAAGACGTCTAGAAGATGTCTTAAAAATTGACGTCTTCTAGACGTCTTTTTATCTTTTAAATAGACGCCTTTTAAACGTCATTTTAAAAACGCATTCATATAAGTTGTCTAAAAGATGCCTTTAAAACGTCTATAAAAGTGCGTCTTTACCTAGACTAGTTTTAGACGTCTATAAGTGTCTAAAATGCGTCTTGTGCTTACTGGGAACGTTTTCCGTTATGTTTTTTGCATTCGTTTGATAAAAAAATAAAAAA